ATAACACCCAGTGCTCCATGCAGAACGTGCCCTCCTTAATACCCATCACCAGGCTAACCCATCCCCCCACCCCCTCCCCTCTAGAACCCTCAGTTTGTTTCTCAGAGTCCATAGTCTCTCATGGGCCGTCTGCCCCTCCGATTTCCCCCCCTTCATTTCTCCTTGCAAAAATTACTCATTATTGTGATATTCATTAAGAAATTTGAAAACAGATATTAAATGCTGGGTAAGGGAGCAGCTATCATTTCCTGGGGCACATGGACCCCTTGCTTGAATTTCCCATTCTCCAGCACACTGCTGATTGAGTGTGAACAGCTAAGTTGTTGGATTCCACATTTCTTAATGAGTACAACTGGTTCTAGCTGGCACAATTAGCAAGATCACCGGTAGCTTTCACGCAGTTCCCATCTGGCCTGGCTCTTCTCCGGACACATAATGTCGGGACTGCTGGCCTTGATGGCGCTCGCTTAATGAAGGAAACAGAAAGGAAATCAGCCAAAACCCCGTGAAACACTAAGTGCAATTTTGGCTCCAGATAGATGGTGAATTTTCATGGCAAATATGAAATGTTACTCTGCTTATGCCTCACAATTATACAGGAAATGCACACACAGTCACAGATGAGAAGAGTCAGAAAAAGCTTTGTCAGAGTTACAACTAAAATCAAACTAAAAGAAAGAGAAAGAAATGATAGAGTGGTACGTTATCCATTTACTTAAGGTAAAACATACCAAGTAAAATTTAACCAAATCAGTACATTTTTAAATCAGCCAACTTCTTTTTTCCCCCCAATTTAAATTCAGTAGTTACTTTCTTAACATTTGTATAGTTGCATTTTTTAAAACATAAAACATATTTCTCACTCACATCTGACATGAGAAATGTCCTATTTTCACTTGACAACGTATCAGATTTAAGAATCTATCTTCTGAAAACTTTCTATTGAGTACTCGATTACTGAAATTTAGCTATTATTTACAGGAAATATTTGTATGAAATGCAATAAACTCTATTACAGAAAAAGCATTTTCAAAGTATTTATTTTAAATGTTCCAAAACATGAGCAAAGTATGAGCATATGTGTGTTGCCTCATTCATCCTAGGAAGGATTGTAAGGAGAATTTGGGTTATAAGGAGACACACCTGGGTTTGAATTCTAACTGCGCATTAGTACTTGCAAGATATTGCACCAGTCATTAGCATCTCTGAGGCTCCTTACCCACTGGTAATGTAGAATTAAAACAGACTGTCATTTACAAGATTAAATAAGGCAAAGTAGATGACATGCCTAGCACAGTGTGGTATAGATTGTGAACATTCAATGCATTGTTGAACATTTTGATGCTGGTAAAAATATTATTTCAGTTCATTCATATATAACAATAATTTACTCTTCCACAGAATTCTAAATATACAATCAACCCAGAATTTAAAAATTTAAACAGCAAATTAAGAACATTATTCCTTTAAATAGTTGTATCTAGCCTAGCTCCGGAAAAGGGAATACTGCATTTCCACTGACCTCCCATCATATTAGGTAGTCAAAATTGAACCTTTCAAGTTAAACTTGAAATTGGTTCGAAAATAGTGAGCCGAGAGCATCCCGGGATTTGTCACACACCAGCAGGGATATTTCTTCAGAGAGCTGAAAGGCAGATTTTCCTTTTATAATAATGAGGCATTTGGTGGGCCTTAAGTAATACTGGAATATCCAAGTATCTCTAATTCTATTACCTATAATATTCTCTATCCTTAGAAAATAATATTCTAGTATATCTCTCTAATTCGAAACATTAAAATTTTTCTTTTGTCCTTGGTTTTACACTATTCCTCAGACTTTGTTTTCTTCCTTTGTTTGTACAGTTTTCCTACATTAATGAAGGTAACAAGAATAGCTACCATTTATTTAAATACTTCCATTCCTCAAAGGCCCCTTTACATCTGATAAGGTTTTCACTGAATATTCCCTTTTGCTTTTGGCGTAAGCAAAATCTGGCTCTCCCTAAATGACATGACTAGCCTTGATGCCTTCTAGAATGGATGTTATCCATTTTCTCCAATTTCATATTCCTCAGGGATGAGAGTGAGGACAGTGGTCTGTCGCTCCCCCGTGATGTTTTCACATCATGTCTCCTCTTCCTTCCACCATTAATTACACCCTTTGAAGCTAATGCAATTCAGTTCTCACTCTCAATAGCCTTCTTATCACTATCACCTGCCAGCATCTTGAAAGCCATTGATCTGCTTCCATTGAAGGTTTTTTAATACCTGCCACTATTTAGGGTTTGGTTATTCATTCATTATTTGATTAAATGTTCAACAAACATTTTTGGACCAGAAATACTGTTCTTGGTAGTGGAAAATAACAGTATTTATTCCTATCATCAGAGACCTTACACAACAGGGAAGTGTATGTTCATCCCTGAATGCTTTTTGCCTAGATTGTTTCTCAGGGGTTTTTGCTTTGTTTGGTTTTCTGTGTGGTTTTTTTGGTGGCTATTCCTCATTCAAGATGGTTGTAGTGTGTGGCCAGGCTTGGGCTCAGAATTCCTCACTGCCCTGTTCATTAACATATATTTCACTCGTACTAAGTGGTTTGCAATCTGAATACTATTAACCACCAAATATCAATCTTCAAATAGAGACAGTTATTTAAATGTCCATTTGAATGAAAAACCACTATTTCAAAATGATTTCACAGAAAATCTTACATCCCTAAGATTTAGTAAATCAAGGGAGAAAGGAAAATCAGCTGTCCACCATCAGGGAAGAAAGTTTCAGACAGGAAATGCAAGTAATGGAAGAGAGTAAAATGAATCTCCAGTCACAGAGCCCCCTCTATGTACCCTCTATAAGGAGAACTATTATTATCTGAAAACACAGTCACATCTGCAACAGCAGAAGGGAGCACAATCAATCCCAACACAAATAATAAAAACAGCAGCAAATTACAAGAAGTAATACAATATAAAAGCATAGAGATCGCTTCACATAGCACATTCAAGATCAATCACCTTGATATGCAAAGGTAAAATTTTCACCTTGATATGCAAAGGTAAAATTTTATAAGAATGACTAAATATGAGACTCTATTTTATCATCATTTTAATAAAAAAATTTAAATTAGCTCACCCCTTTCCATAAGTAAGTCATTTGCACACAACAGCTACATAATCTAAGATTTTTTTTTCTGGGTAGCAATTGCTTTCTATGGATGGGAGCTTATCTCATCAGGATCTTAGTTTATTAAGGGGAATAATGCATGATATACTTGCATCTCAGAAACTTTATACCTTAAACCTGATTTACTATTTCTTCATCACATCCCCAAAAGTATACCTTTTTCAGAAGACTTAAGTCTATAAATTTATGACTGCTTAGGAAAAGATATTACTCTGTCCTGACAGATTCCTAGATTTAAATAAATCATCCCAGAACTGGAAGCATACCAGTCTAAGGAGAAATAAAGGCTGATTCAGAGTGGGGCAAAGCCTTCTCAAAATACTATAAATAAACACTTTTAAGATCATCACATATTAGAAATCCTTAATTGAAACTTTTTTAAAACTTTTTTGAGATACCTAATTATGACATGGATAATTTTATATACTGTGAAAACTTAGAAAATAGTTCATTCATCACTATTGCTATCATGACAACTTTTTGGGAATAGACCAAAGTAATGCCACATAAATTAACAATCAATATATTTATAGTTGAGAAGAAATCCACTATACTTCATAGAACCATGAGCAATCTCTCTTGTGCCTTTATTAGAATGTAAGAATTTGCAAATATTAATAACATTGTAAGCTAGATTAATAAATAATTGCTGATGTCAAGTTATATCCCAGTCTATGTTGCTATTGCTGTGCACTGTGGAAAACATTATACAATTTTTGTTGACCTTTTGCAGTTTGATTAACCGTGCAAAACTCTTTTAAATTATGTAATTCAACAAATACGCGTAACTCAAATATTACTATAGGTCATAGAAGAAAAAGATCACAATGCTATTGTCAAGGGTAGATGTTGTTTTTACAGGTCACCAACGACAGAAACAATGGTGTGGTCTGAAAATATGGACACACTTTTAACCAACCAAGGTAGGATCTGACTAAGTTTAAAAATATAATGATTAAAAGTAAATCATTAAATTCTGAAAGTTGTAGTTATTATAAAATATGAGTTTGATCAATATTTGAAGCATAAGATTCCCGACAGTCACACAAATCTAAATGGAATATAGGTCCCAAATCTCAATGGAATTAGGTTAGACCTAAAATACGACATGATTATAGCAATCCAAACATTAGCACAAAAAGAAAATCCCAAACAGGAACTAAGAAATTTGTCATTTTCTTAGACTCATTATCATTTGATGTATATATATTGGCTATTCTTATTACAAGTTGAAAGAAACATACAAATTATTGAAAAGTTGAAAATTTAAATAAATCACTTGTTTTGTCAGGTCTCAGAGGCTAAAAACAGTTTTAAGTATTTATTTCAACTGAAATTCTAATTTTTAGTGAAAACAAAAACATATTTAAATGTATTAATATGTACATGTGTAGCTATGTATTTATATTATTTAATATTGGCTCAATAAGGTAATTTGATTTTCAATAAATAAAATACCCCATAATTTTATTCAAAGTAGTCATTTGGAACTTCTGTTTCTGTTATAGACAATTCTGTTTTGCAGCAGTTTTATTTCAGTTGTATCTCATACAGGAAAAAAAATGGCTCTACAGAGACATGTATTAAAATATGTTTAATAATTAATATTGCTGGTACTAATCAAATGGAATTTCTACTTTAAATTTGTAAAATAAATATCAGAAGATTAGAAAAGTTTAAAACAATAAAGTTGGGGGAATTCTTCATAGCTGTTTATTCATATGAAAAATTAGATTGAATTAGACAAAATTATTCTGATTTTATGATTCTTAAATAATTAATTCCTAAAGCATAGACATAAAATAATCCACATCATTCCTAGAATCCAACTAAGGACATATACTAAAGACATCAAAGACATGGAGGAATTGCATTTTTGTAAGTTTTGAATGGCATGTTTCTTTTTTACTTAAGTGTATAACCAGTGGAACAGATCAGGTTTACTAGAAGCCTCGAGAAAGTATCTCTGCAGGTGGTGCGTTGGCTGGCTGGAGTAGGGGAGTTCTAGGGGACAGCACCACAGTACAGAGGCATGGAAGATGTTGAGCTGAAGGCAAATGCTTTCATCTGCATATCTCCTGAGATTTTCTATTTCATGCCCACATAAAGTAGAAGAGTTGTAGATTCATTTGAGCAGATGTTTGGTTTTTGCTTTTTATAATACCAGAAAAATAGCTTGGAAATAGAAAATGCTTTTTAATGTTTTAAACAGCTAAATGACTCACCAGATTATCTGTTTTGTCAACTTGGGGATATGTCTTGCAGGTACTATGCATTGGCTCTCATGTAAGTTTCGACACCTAGTGTTTATTCCATTTGTCAGCCCCTGTTAAGCCTAACCAGTAGCCATTCCATTCTGTAGAGAGTGCCCTCAGAGAATATCATTTTAATTGCATGTAACTTATTGTTCCAAAGTCACATGACATCTTTTGATCATTCAAATTGTATGTAGAGAATAGAAGCGTATTTCAATAAAATAGTGTGTCCAAGACAGAGATAACTAGCTCATTTTAGCTGTTTATTCTGTTCCGTTGTGTCCCGAACTGAGTGTTGGGAGAGGGAAAAAAGACAATAGCTATTATCTCCGAGTAGTCCTTCATTAAAATTGCAGGATGTGAGAAAATAATAAGTTTCCTGATCTCTAACTTCCCATCTCTCAGGGATACATTTAGGTAATCCTCAGTGGGAGGAAGCCTCATATGCCTCAATGACACATATATAAAATATTGCCAGACAGGAATCTATAATTTATGGTAGAATAATGGTATTCTTTCAATACCATTAAAGTATACTTTATCCTCTCTATAAAATAGATTTTAGCATAAATTCTGTTTTGAACCCTCAAATTCATCATTGTTCAGACAAAACTTACGGAAATTTTAATTGAATGTTAGTAAGAAGATTTTCATAACCTAAATTTGTGTCACAGAAGCTTCTTGGATGTATTTTTAAATGCAATAAATGTGTAGTTAATTGAATTTTTTATAGTGCTCACATATTAACGACATCCACATTCTCCAATATTTCTACTGAGAATTTTAATTGGTACCTGATAACCTTTTGCAATGGCTTGTTATTTCAACTGTATTTCGAATAATAAAAAAAATATTAAATCTATTTTTAATTTCCCAATGTTTTTAGATGCTTTTATCTTGCTCCCTGAAGCCTTTTCTATTTTCTCTCACTGAAATCACTTTGCTTCCCACCTGCAGCAACCTGCAAATAGCTGATTTTGGTCCCTTTTCCATAAACTTTCTCTTACATTTTCTTTTCCACTAGTTTATTTTCCCTTTCCCCTGATTCTCCACAAGCTCTTTTGTCCCTACTTTGACACTAGAAGGATCAGATCTCTGAGTATGCAGTCAGGGAAGAGCTGCTTTGAGCAAATGCAAAGGGTTCCTCGTGGCAGATGGAAGAGAAAGTCACCAATGTTTTGGAAGGCAAATCCCTCCTGAGGCAAAAGTGCTGATGTACATTTTCCTGCTCAGAGAGATCCACAGTCTCATTTATAAACAGATACTGACCTCAGGCAGGTACAATCTGTGAAACCAAATAATATGAACTCAAGGTACTACCTTAGTCCATTCAGCTGTGGGAATGTGATAATGACCTTTCTAACCTGCTCTCTAACTAGAAGCACAATCCTTTTTTTTAAGATATATATATTTATTGCAGGCAACACTCACTATTTATGCCACCAATCCCCTCAAAATTACACTATTTTAAAAATTCCTGATGTTAAGCTTAAATTTTCATTAGTCAAACAAAGACTGATATATTTTTCTTTCTCAATTCTCCCCAATACCTTTTGTGTTATAAAAATAATTAGATAACCAGATCTTTTTTTTTTTTCCTTTTTTGTTGGTTTGATTTTCTTTTTTTATTTAAATCCAATTAGCCAACCCTACTCATCCCTAACTCATTTAGCAAGAATAACCTTCTTCAGTGACCTCTAGATATACTAAAGAAGAATATTTCAGGGCACATTTTGATGAGGAAAATAAAGAAAGGAACAATCTTAATCTTAAATAGGAATAATACACATGTAAATTTGGCTGAAAGTTGGGGCGCCTGGGTGGCACAGTCGTTCAGCGTCTGCCTTTGGCTCAGGTCATGTTCCCAGGGTCCTGGAATCGAGCCCTGCATCGGGCTCCCTGCTCAGCGGGAAGCCTGCTTCTCCCTCTCCCACTCCCCCTGCTTGTGTTCCCTCTCTCGCTGTGTCTCTCTCTGTCAAATAAATAAATAAAACCTTAAAAAAAAATTGGCTGAAAGTCAAGTAATGGGGAGAAGTGGGACCTATGGGAATTACAGGCTGCAATCGCTACCTGTTGTTATTAAATTTAAAAGAAATAACATACTAATTGAGGCAAAGTAAACAAGCCTGCAAGTAAGTGGCCTAAAGTTTCTGGAGAAACGCATGCTCAGGAGAATACCTGGGAGCAGGAGAAAAATACCATGCACAGGCTAAGTAAGAGCAGGTACCATGAGGGAGAATGGGGACATCAATGTTTTACTTAAGGCAACACTGGGGAAAAGCTCATTCATTTGCTTTATTGACTTAAAATTGCCTAATACCACATAAAGCGAAGAAACACCAAGTCACACCAAGTATCTTGCTGGTTACTTTCTTGGTTTAGAGATTTGAATTGGCCGATATATTCACTCAAGATTAACAAATGCCAGTCCTTCCTTCTTTGCCTTGAGCCCAAACCCACACAATCTAACTCCTCAGCATCAAATTGTTTCCTAACCAACTCATAGCAACACAGATATTCTTACTCTGAAGTTAGTATAACATAATTACTTGATTTGGGTTTAGTTTATTGAGTGTAGAAAACTAAGTCCATGGATTTCCCATGAAGTAACTGCCATCAAGACTTTCCTCTAAACACGACTCCTTGATGTTTCAGATCTAGAAAGAAAAAGTACAGGTTAATGTGTTAATGGAGCTAATTGGAGAAATAGAGACAAGAATATCTTATGTTTATGATTACTGATCCAAAATAAGGTTTCTAAACCTAAAAACAAAAACATATAACTATATAGAGAGGGATGATAAATATTTACACTGAATACTCAGTGAATGCTTATATATATATATATATATATCTCATTATATATATAGCAATCTAAATATATATAAATTAATATATTAATCTATATATATATATAGATTTTATTTGACAGAGAGGGAACACAAGCAGGGGGAGTGGGAGAGGGAGAAGCAGGCTTCCCGCAGAGCAGGGAGCCCGATGCGGGGCTCGATCCCAGGACCCTGGGATCATGACCTGAGCCGAAGGCAGATGCTTAATGACTGAGCCACCCAGGTGCCCCCAGTAAATGCTTTATTATACAATGTATTCATTTTGGTTATTTATACTGCACTGTATGATATACAAAAGTTTTTCTTTTATATTTAATAGCTGGTTTGGATGCTTTTCGAACATTTCTAAAATCAGAGTTTAGTGAAGAAAATGTTGAGTTCTGGCTTGCCTGTGAAGACTTCAAAAAAACAGAAAGTGCAGAAAAAATTGCTTCTAAAGCCAAGATGATTTATTCTGAATTCATTGAAGCTGATGCCCCTAAAGAGGTGAGTAAAATATTCCAGGATAGTGAATATTCATCTCCTAGCAAATTTGCTCCCAATTATAAGACACTTAATTCATCTAAGGGGAAATCAAATTGTCGCTATGTATTCAAATAGAAATGTCTGTAAACTCCAATAGAAGTGCCTTAAGATGATCCTATTTTTTATTGACTCAATAAATCTTTTCAACACCTACTATGTGCCAGATATGACCAATATTTTTGTTTCCTTAGCACATCATGCAGACTCTTGAAAAATAGTGTCCATTATCTTAGATTAAATCACTCTAAAATTTACCCTATAGAAATGTTACTCAAATGTGTTCTTGCATTTCAAGTTCACTTTTTTTTTATTCTTATGTTAATCCCCATACATTACATCATTAGTTTTAGATGAAGTGTTCCATGATTCATTGTTTGTGCATAACACCCAGTGCTCCATGCAGAATGTGCCCTCCTCAATACCCACCACCAGGCTAACCCATCCTTTTCCCTTTTATAAATCATGGTGGTCAAGATGGAATAGAATTCTAGAATAGAATAATTTATTTAAAAATTAAGGATAATATGTGGGGGGAAATAGGACTACTAACCAAAAGCATGAATTCTTCATTTTTAATATTTTGGATGTCCACATTATGGCATGTAATGTCTTAACTTTCCAAAGAAAGAGTTTGCTTACCTTTATTTCTTTGAGGGTAAAAATAGCCAAAGCTGTGAGACAATGTTTCAGGTAATCAGGATCCGCCTATGCTGCTTTAAGATCAGGAAAGGAGAAAGGGCCTTCCAGGAGAAACCTGGAATGACTGATAATAGTCCCCCCCCCAAAAAAAAAGGGTTCAATGTGTGTAACAATTCATTTATATTTGATTTCATTTCCAGAACCAAAACCATGATCATCTTCATATACCCTTTACTATTAAAACTTTGAGCAATTTATAATTTAAAACGATTTCAGCCATGAGAGATTGTGGACTCTGAAAAACAAACTGAGGGTTTTAGAGGGGAGGGGCTGGGGGGATGGGCTAAACTGAGGGTTTTAGAGGGGAGGGTCTGGGGGGATGGGTTAGCCCGGTGATGGATATCAAGGAGGGCAGGTATTTCATGGAGCACTGGGTGTTATACATACACAGTGAATCATGGAACACCACATCAAAAACTAATGATGTAATGTATGGTGACTAACATAACATAATAAAATAAAATTTAAAAATAAATAAATAAAATGATTTCAGTTCCTCACTGAATATATCATATAAGCAAGGAATTTTAATGCATAAATAATGAACAGAAAGCTACATTGAATTACTAGTACCAAACATAAACTACTAGTACGAGTCATCTTTCCTACGGAGGCAAAACACCAATTTCCTCCTAGGGGATAGTTATCATATTTTCTGATCCAAAATTAGGATTCATGGTGTGAGAAGGGTTATTACACTTATGGGGACAAAGAACAGAATAGATGAAATGAAAACACTTACAGAAAATCCAGGACATAAAGTGGTTGTATTAATAGTTCAAGTTTTAATTGGACATTACTTACTACAGCATACATTGGCTAGTATAAATTTACACACATATGAGCTACTAAAACATAGTCTGGAATTCATGGGGGGACAGTGAAGAGGGTGAAGAATTTTAACTGCTGTGGAGCTATTTCAACATTCATTTCCCAGTCACCATCTAAGAATCAATAAATAATTCTGGAAAATTGAAAATATAGTATATGAGATTTGTCAAGTTGATTAATGTGTCATTCCCTAAAAGGGCTTGAAATCAGCTCTAAAGATATCCTATTTATTGTGATATTGATTTGAAAGCCAGATTTTTTTCTTCTTTATGAATTCAGCTAATTAACAGTGATTGTTTTAGAATAGCATTCTCAAACATTTTGCATGAGAAGTCTTCTAATAAGAAATGTCATCTTTTAATTATAGCTGAATTCAATTTTACAATATATAATAAATTATCAATTTTGACAAAATAGTTTTGTTTACTTTCCTAATCTTTTCTTCTAAAATAAATTTATATGGTAATAATTTAAATAAATAGCACAGTTAAGCATATAAAACTTGTATGACTTTTTATACTTTGTCCATCTAATTAATTTGACTAAATAAAATATAATTAAATTTATGGCTGCTTTTCAAGTAATAATTATATTTTCTCCTTGAAGTATCTAAAAATGTTATCATCAAATATGACAAAATTCACTGAAAACAAAAAACTATATAGATATACATTTGAAAGTCATTATCTTTCTTATTATTTGCCATTAGTTGTTTCCAGTTCAACAGATTACTAAATTTCACTTCCCAAATTACTAAAGGGCATTTGCCTTTTATATTATGTATCAGTTACAGTTTTCAAGGTATTTCTCTGTAGTCCATCGGTTTTATGTTAAATATAATACAACTGTGAGTATGTTGACTCATTAAACTGATTTTTTGAGTGCCTGCCCCCACAATGAAGTCACAAAGCAGGAGAGACTGACATGTAATAAAACCAGTCAAATACACAATAAACAATATAATAATAAAGCCACATTTAAAGTTCATTATTAGCACACTGGAAAAGTGATTAAATATGGAGAGTTAAGGGACGCATTTTCAGGGTGATTCACACATGAAAAACGTATGTCATGAAAAGAGTAATATCAAGACGCAAATGAAGAAAGAATATTTCAGACTGAGGGCACAGTGATATAACATGGAGGCACAAAGCTGCCTAGTGTTTCCTGAAAATTACAAACATTTTGATATTGCTAATGAGAAGTGGGGGATGAGTTGGATAGGCAGTAGTAAAGATAGAAAAGGGTGGGAAGTATTTAGATTTATCTAGTAGGCAGACTTAATAAGACAAGGTCATATCTTTGATATGGAAGCTGGAAAACATGATTTTCACAAGTAAAAAAATTAATCCAAGAATGAGATTTATATGAGAATATTCTCTATTTTTCCATATTCAATTATAGTTGTATAAGTGACTCATAAAGAATCAAAATTATAACTAATTTTCTTGATAGAAAATCCTAAAGTAAAGAACAATGGCAAAGTCATGCTATGTAGAGGTCTATTAACTCATATTTATTTTCTTTTCAATTTCTCATGTCTCTATTTCCTCATCTGTAAAATTGCTAGTATAACTTAATTTTTAATTGATGCAATTAGACAATTTATAATTAGACTATACTAAATTTACTAAACAATCCCTTTTTATAAGTTGACATTACTAATGGTTCTCCGTTTCCTATTCTAACAGGCAAAGACAGCCCACTGAACAAAACAACAAAAATTGAACTTCTAGGTCTCGATGAGAAATGATAATAATTGTAACTAGACTTTATGCCCTCTCCCTTACAGGATTATCTTTTCTCTGGTTTCTACACTAATAGAGAGTTAGTGTGATATAGTAGATAATTGGAAATTTAGAGATACCTAGACCTAAATTCAAATCCTGTAGTAATCTTGTGGTAAGCTGTTTTATCTCTCTGAGCCTCAGTTTCCCTCTAATAATTTATCTAAAAAGCAAGCACATAACACACAGGACACATGAGAATGATGAATGAGATCACATGTCTGTGGTTTATATCATGCAGAACAGCTTTTAGGAAATTGTAATCCTTTTTGTTTTTTTTAAACAAGTCACTATAAGGGCTATAGTTTCAACCTGAAAACAACCATTATAAAAAAACATTAGCAAAGCACTAGTTTCAGATAAAAAGAGCTATTCATTGAATGGACTATACCTAGGTAGTTTCAGAAGAAAATACTGAGGGAAAAAAAGTATATATATAGCCAGGTATTTTAACTAAGTGATTTGAAAAAGAAAATTATTAGACAAGTCATATTTTTTACTTTTTATTTTTTAATTTTTTAAAATATTTTATTTATTTATCAGCAAAAGAGAGAGAGAACACAAGCAGAGGGAGCAGCAGGATGAGGGAGAAGCAGGCTACCTGCTGAGCAAGGAGCCTGATGCGGGCCTCAATTCCAGGACCCTGGGATCATGACCTGAACCGAAGGCAGACGCTTAACGACTGAGCCCCCCAGGCATGCCGACAAGCAATATTTTTTAAAGTGCCTCTACTTTGCACACAATAGGAACCTATAAGTGTAAAAGAAGTTCATAAACTTTTATTTATTCGTCCTTCAATTTGGACCACTCATTTTATAATATTTGGAATTTTAAGAAAATAATATTACTTGGTTTCAACAGAATGGAACTCTTCAAACACTTCAAATAATATTTTCATATTACTGAAAACACTGACAGATTTTAAATATTCATGTTTTATTTATATCATTTATATATATTATATTTCTGTCATTCTTTTTATTGAAAAGGAAATTACTCAGGATGGAAAATATGTGATTAGAGAGAAAAATGTTTATGTTTATGTTGATTGTCATTCTGAGATAGTAGAAAATGTTCCAAATCATACAACAGTGTAATGTTTAAAATTATATAAATTCAACTGCATATTACCACACTGGCAGTTTTTTAAGTCAAAGAATATTAGTACAAAATATTTAATTCTTAAATGTACTTATTAAATGGGGCACCTGGGTGGCTCAGTCAGTTAAGCATCTGCGTCCGCTCAGGTCATGATCCCAGAGTCCTGGGATGGAGTCCAACATTGCTGTCATTTGGCTCCCTGCTCAGCAGGAAGTCTACTTCTCCCTCTTCTTTTGCCTCTCCCCCCAGGCTTGTGCGTGCTCTCTCTATCTACTCAAATAGGTAAATAAAATCTTTAAAAATAAAATAAAATAAAAAAGTATTTATTAAATGTAAATGTGAAGACACCATAACTCATAAAATAAAGAAGAAACTATAGTCATAGAGGAGAAGGTATCTTAATGGGCGTGTGCAGGACACTTTTTAAAATATCTATGTCTGTTTTTTTGCTTTTGTTTTTAAGTCAGTATAATGTTATTTATTGACATATTTTATTTCACATCAGCAAATGCTTATTCTGTGTCTACTATTCACCTCCTTATA